CACGTACACCCCACACCCCACACGTACACCCCACGCCCCACACGTACACCCCACGCTCTGCATGCAGACACCCCACGCCCCGCATGCAGACACCCCACACCCCACAACTGCGTACACTAGCTGTACAGACACCCCACGCCCCACATGCAGACACCCCACACCCCACACCCACTAGCTGTACAGACACCCCACACAGACACCCCGCACTGACACCCCACGCGTATACACCCCACGTTTATTATGCAGCAAGTGTCTGTACACCCCACACTTACAAGCCCCACACGCATGCGCTGGAACTCGTCAGAGGGATTTCTTTTTTTCGAGGGATTGGGGTGTAGGGTTTAGGGTTTAGGGTTTAGGGTTTAGGGTTTAGGGCTGCATACACTGCAGGGGTCCCGTACACCCCACATGCGCGCATGCGCGTGGGGTGTATAGACAGCAGACTGTGTTTGTCTTTGTCTCCAGAAAAAGGCAGAAGAGTATTTTGAGCGTTTAAAACAAGAAGTCAGTTTTATTATTTATTTATTTATTTATTTATTTATTTATTTATTATCTATTTTTTATTTATTTGCTGTTTGTCTCTTTTTTCTTTTTCTTTTTTCGCTTTTTGTCTCGTCTTGCTTTCTTTTTATCTTTTTTATTTCTTTTGAATCTGCTGTTTGTCTCTTTTTTCTTTTTCTTTTTTCGCTTTTTGTCTCGTCTTGCTTTCTTTTTATCTTTTTTATTTCTTTTGAATCTCATTTTCCCGCTTTTATTGCCGCTATTATTGTCGCTTACTGCGCCTTTGCCGCTTCAGCTGCTGCTGCTGCCACTTTGCTGCTGCAGCAGCAGCTGCTTTTGCTGCTGCTGCTGCTGCATGCACCGCTGCTGCTTCCGCTGCTGCTGCCGCCTGCGCCGCTGCCTCTCCCCTGCACCTGCCCCCCTGCATCCCCCGCTTCAACGCCGCTGCCGCTGCTGCCGCTGCTGCTGCTGCTGCTGCTGCTGCTGCTGCTGCTGCTGCTGCAGGCGGAGAGCGTGCATGCACCGGGGGGCCTCGGGGGCCGCGTTGTCACCCAGCCGGGACAGTTAGTTCGCTACACTCTTTCGAAAGATGACACAAACATGTTTGGCTTAGTGCAGGCGGTGTCAGCAGCTGTCGATACACCCGACAGCAGCAGCCGCAAAGTCGAAGACAACTCCGACGCCAAAACCCCCAGCAGAGACGCCCTCGTCACCTTCTACTTCCGCAGCCCCCAGGCTCTCGTGAGTCCTCCTTGCATGCATGCATGCGTGCATGCATGCATGCATGCATGCATGCATGCGTGCATGCATGCATGCGTGCAGGCATGCATGCATGCGGGGCTGCATGCAGCGTATTGGAGTGCTTGGCTGAGCGGGGTCTGGCCGCTGAATGTTTTAATTCTCTGTTCATGTTTGTTTTTTGCGTCACATTCGGACATTTTTGTATTCATATTTACATTTGTATTTGCATTTATATTTACCTTTATGTATTTATGTTTATATTCTTTTATTTATGTTTGCATTTGTTTCTGTTTGTTCATTAAGCGTATGCATGCATGCGCATGCAAAGTGCGCGCAGCACGAGGTGTACGTACACCTGAACCACAAAAGTTTCGCTGCTCCTGCATTTGCAGGCGGTATTTGCATTTATATTTACGTTTATGTATTTAAGTTTATATTCTTTTATTTATGTTTGCATTTGTTTCTGTTTGTTCATTGAGCTCATGCATGCATGCGCATGCAAAGTGCGCGCAGCACGAGGTGTACGTACACCTGAACCACGGAAGTGTCGCTGCTCCTGCATTTGCAGGCAACAGTGCAAGCAGCAGCAGCAGCACTAACAGCAGCAGCAGCAGCACTAACAGCAGCAGCAGCAGCAGCAGCACAAGCAGTAGCAGCAGCAGCAGAAGCAGCAGCTTATTTTGCTTTTGTGTTTTGGATTGCATGCGCAGGCGGAACAGACTCAGTCTAAGAGCGTCGACAGGCAGCGACTTACTGTTATTTTGTCTTTACAAACGGTATCTCTGCTGCTGCTGCTGCTGCTGCTGCTGCTGCTGCTGCTGGCTGTGTACACTGTGAAGTGCTGCTGCAGCTGCTGCGCTGCTGTTGCAGCTCCGGTCTCTTTCTGTGCTGCTGCGAGAGCCCGCACTGCCGCTGCTGCTGCTGCTGCTACCGCCTGCATCCCTGCAGCGCTTCCCCCCCATGCCTCCGCTGCTGCTGCTGCTGCTGCTGCTGCTGCTGCTGCTGCTGCTGCAGCTGGTGCACCCGAAGAACATCCCCCCCTCGGGCTACCGCTGCTGGCAGCGAGTCTTCAGGCCTGACGGCTGGATTGGTTTGCAGCCAGTTGAGATATCATCAGTTTCTGTAGAGGCAGCAAATGCAGACCAAGGTGGGTCTTTTTTTCTCTTTTTTTTAATCTTTTTTTTCTTTTTTTCTCTCTTTTTGTCTCTTCTTTTGTCTCCTTTTTGATCCACTCTTGTCTCCTCTTTTTGCTTTCGTTTTTGCTTTTTTCGGCGCTCTTTTATCTTTTCTTTGAGCTCTTTTTCTGACTCGTTGGGCCTTTTTGTTTTTCTCTTTCTCTCCTCTTTACGCCCTTTGTCTCTTTCCCCTTTCTAGTCTCTTTTCTTTCATTCATGCATCCTTGCATGCATATTTGCATGCATGCATCCATGCACGCATATTTGCATGCTTGCATCCATGCATGCGTATTTGCATGCATGCATGCATGCATGCACATCTGCATGCATGCACGGGTGCCTCGCTGCCTGCCTGCATATGCGCGTACCTCCACGCATGCATGCATGCATGCATGCATATTTGCATGCGCGGCTGCATGCATGCATGCGTGCATGCATGCATGCGTGCATGCATGCATATTTGCATGCGCGACTGCACGCATGCATGCATGCACATTTGCATGCGCGGTTGCATGCATGCATGCATGCATGCATGCATGCATGCGTGCGTGCATGCAGGCGACGGGGCTGGGGCTTTGTACAAGGGGCATGCAGTGATTCACCCGCTGCTGGGCCCCGACCTGGACAGCCCCCCTAACGAAGGGGCCCCTGAGGAGTCTGTGGGCCTCGACGAGCTGTTCATGGACGCCGTGGGCGAAAGCGACAAGCAGCGTGAGGGTTTAGGGTTTAGGGTTTAGGGTTTAGGGTTTAGGGTTTAGGGTTTAGGGTTTGGGGTGGGGGCTGCGTGGCACTTCAGCCTTCAGGGCTTGGGCCTTGAGCGCGCAGCGCGGAGTCCGGAGCCCCAGGGCGGGCTCCCAGGCCCAGCCCAGGGAAAGGGGCTAGGGTTTAGGGTTTAGGGTTTAGGGTTTAGGGTTTAGGGTTTAGGGTTTGCGGGCAGCTGCGCGGGACGCGGAGTTCACCCTGAGTCAGAAGGTGGCCGGCGAGTTCGCAGATGTGCGACTTCTCAATCAACTTTCGGTGACGCATTTATGTCGTTGGTTGAAATTCCACATTTCCATTTTGGAACCCGACAGAAGATTCACCAAAAACGTCCTGCTCCAGGTCAGTCCCCAGCTAGCTAGCTAGCTAGCTAGCTAGCTAGCTAGCTGGCTACTAGCCAGCTCGCTGGCTAGCTGGCTAGCTAGCTAGCTAGCTAGCTACTAGCCAGCTCGCTGGCTAGCTGGCTAGCTAGCTAGCTGGCTGACTGGCTGGCTGGCTAGCTGGCTGGCTGGCTGGCTAGCTAGCTAGCTGGCGGGCGGGCTGGCTGGCTGGCCTTTCAGCCAGCTAGCCAGCCTGCCAGCTAGCCAGTCGGTCAGTTAAGTAGCTAGCTAGCTAGCCATCTCGCAATCCAGCCAGCTCGCTAGCTAGCCAAGCAACTAGCCAGCCAGCCAGCTAGCCAGCCAGCCAGCTAGCCAGCCAGCTAGCTAGCCATTTAGCTGTCCAATCATCCAGCTACCTATCCAGCTGGCTAGCCATCTAGCCCTCCATCCATGCATCCAGCCAGCCATCCAGCTAGCTAGCCAGCTAGCTAGCTATCTAGCTAGCTTTCCCTCCAGCTAGCTACCTAGCCAGCCAGCTCGCTAGCTAGCCAACTAGCTACGCCTCCAGCTAGCTATCCCTCGAGCCAGCCAGCCAGCTAGCCAGCTAGCCAGCCAGCTACCCGTCCAGCTAGCCAGCCAGCTAGCCAGCTAGCTAGCCAGCTAGCCAGCTAGCTACCCGTCCAGCTAGCCAGCCAGCCATCCAGCCAGCCAGCGAGCTAGCCACCCAGCCACCCAGCCACCCACCCAGCCACCCACCCACCCAGCCACCCACCCAGCCAGCCACCCAGCTAGCCAGCCAGCTAGCTAGCCAGCTAGCCACTGCGTGCGTGCAGATGATGCGGGCGGTGCGGCACGTGGTGGACAAGGCGGACTGGGAGCCTTTGGTGGCGGACCTGCTGCAGGCCAACGTGCGGGGCTGCATGCTGCAGCTGGTGCGGCTGGCTGCATGCGCTGCTGCATGCGCTTTGCGGCGCATTTTGCTGGCAGCAGCAGCAGAAGTCAAAAGACAAGTTGCTGCTGGAGACCTGACCACTGGTCTCCAGTTCCTGGCCCGCAACAGCAGGTTCCTCGACGAACTCGACCAGGCGCTCGACGACTACTGCAGGAAAGCGCAAACCCTAAACCCTAAACCCTAAACCCTAAACCCTAAACCCTAAGCCTGAGCAAGCCAGCCCGCGGCTTCTGCCCCAAACCCTAAACCCTAAACCTTAAACCCTAAAGCCGCGAGCGCCGCTCTCCAGCTGCTGCCCCAAACCCTAAACCCTAAACCCTAAACCCTAAACCCGCGAGCGCCGCTCCGCGGCTGCTGCCCCAAACCCTAAACCCTAAAGCCACGAGCGCCGCTCCGCGGCTGCTGCCTTCGACGCCCGGGCTCCGGGGCCTCCGGTCTGGGTGTAGGGTCTACTAGGGTTTAGGGTTTAGGGTTTAGGGTTTAGGGTTTAGGGTTTGGGTTGCAGGACGAAGGCGAAGTTGTGCGCGGCCACCATGCGGGACTTGATCTTCCGAGCAAACGCATGCACTTCACTTCGAAACCATCGAAGACCTTTTTGACGGCTGCAGGCAGTTTGAAAAGGACTTCTTGGGCAGTCCGTTTTTTGTTTTTTTTCTTTTTTTTTTCTTTTTTTTTCCTTTTTTCCCCTTTTTTGGCGCTTCTTGTCGCTCTTTGTTTGCGTCTTTTCTTTCTTTGTTTGTTTCTCTTTTTGTCCCTTTTTATTTGCGTCTTTTGTTCCTTTGTTTGCTTCTTTCTGGTCCTTTTTATGTGCGTCTTTTGGCACCTTTTTTGCTTTTTTTCTCCTTTTTTGCTCTTTTTTCGTCTTTTTTGGCTCCTTTTGTCTCTTTTTGTTCGCATCTTTTGTTTCTTTGTTTGCTTCTTTTTGTCCCTTTTTATTTGCATCTTTTACGCCTTTGTTGGCTCACTTTGCTCCCTTTTATTCGTCTCTTTTGCCCCCTTTTTTCCTCTTTGTGTCCTCTTTTTTGTTTCTTTTTGGTCCTTTTTATTTGCTCCTTTTGTTCATTTGTTGGCTCCTTTTTGCTCCTTTTTCAGTTGCATCTTTTAGTCTTTTTTATTTGCATCTTTGGTCCCTTTTTTTGCTCTTTTTACTCCTCTTTTTGTTTCTTTTTTTGCTCCTTCTGTCTTCTTCTTTTGCATGTTTTTGTGCCTTTTTATTTGCATCTTTTACCTTTTTATTTGCTTCTCTTTGTCCCTTTTTTAATCCCTTTTCTTCCTTTTTATTTCTATTTTTTGTCTCTTTATTTGCTTCTTTTTGTCTCTTTATTTTCTTCTTTTTCTCCTTTTTTTGCTTCTTTTTGTCTTTTTATTTATCCCAGTTTTGTTTCTTTATTTGTCTCCTTTTTGTCTTCTTTTTCTTTCCGTTTTTTTGTTTTTCTTGTTCGGTCCTTCCTGCCTTCCTTTTATATCCTCTGCTGCTGCTGCTGCCTCTGCTGCTGCTGCTGCTGCTGCTGCTGCTGCTGCTGCAGGCGTCGCCATGGAGGAAATATCGAAGACAGTGAGGTCCACAATGCTGCGGCGGAAGCAGCGGCTGGGCATTGCTGATGTCTACTCCAGGGGCGGAGGGCCAGGAGACCCCCACGACCTTATCTATGAGGAGGCAAGCTGCTGCTGCTGCTGCTGCTGCTGCTGCTGCTGCTGCTGCTGGTTGTGCTGCTGATTGTGCTGCTGCTGCTGCTGCTGGTTATGCTGCTGATTGTGCTGCTGCTGCTGCTGATTGTGCTGCTGCTGCTGATTATGCTGCTGCTGCTGCTGGGTATGCTGCTGATTGTGCTGCTGCTGCTGATTATGCTGCTGCTGCTGCTGGGTATGCTGCTGATTGTGCTGCTGCTGCTGATTATGGTGCTGCTGCTGATTATGCTGCTGCTGCTGAGTGTGCTGCTGCTGCTGATTATGCTGCTGAGTATACTGCTGCTTCCGATTATGCTGCTGAGTATGCTGCTGCTGATGATTGTGCTGCTGATGATTATTCTGCTGATTATGCTGCTGCTGCTGATTATGCTGCTGATTATGCTGCTGCTGCTGATTATGCTGCTGATTATGCTGCTGCTGCTGATTATGCTGCTGCTGCTGAGTATGCTGCTGATTATGCTGCTGCTGCTGATTATGCTGCTGCTGCTGATTGTGCTGCCGCTGCTGATTGTGCGGCTGCTTACGCTGCTGCTGGATCTTGCGGATGTTGCTGCTGCAGCTGTTGCTGCTACTCAGTCTTGCGGGTGTCGCTGCTGCAGGACGCTGCTGCTGCTGCTGCTGCTGCTGCTGCTGCTGCTGCTGCTGCTGCTGCTGAGGCTTGCGGGGGTTGCTGCTGCAGCTGCTGCTGTTGTGGCTCTCTCTGCTGCTGCTACTGTTGGAGTAGCTGTCGCTGCTGCTGCTGCTGCTGCTGCTGTTCGTGCTGCTGCTGCTGCATGCGCTGGTGCAGCTGCAGCAAACTGCTTTCCAGTGTTTGTTGGGGTGTCTGTACACCTCAGGTGCGGGTGCAGTTTTGGGCTGTCAAAATTCTGCTGGCGACTCCGCTGACAACAAAGTTATATATGCATTTCATTAAAGACATTAAAGACAAAAGCATGGTAAGCAGCAGCAGCAGCAGCAGCAGCAGCAGCAGCAGCAGCAGTAGTAGTAACAGCAGCAGCAGCAGCAGCAGCAGCAGCAGCAGCAGCAGCAGTAGTAACAGCAGCAGCAGCAGCAGCAGCAGCAGCAGCAGCAGTAACAGCAGCAGCAGCAACAGCAGTGGCAGCAGCAGCAACAGAAGTAGCAGCAGCAGCAGCAGCTGCGGTCTGTTCTTCTCCCGCTGCTCTTCATACTTCTTCTAGCGGTGCTGCTGCTGCTTCTCTCCGTGCTGCTGCTGCTGCTGTTCATGCTGCTGCTGCTGTTCGTGCTGCTGCTGCAGCTAGCTGCGGCTGCAGCTGCAGCTAGTGAGCCCATGGCTGTCTGGGCCCTCAGGCCTCTTCTTTTTATTTTGCTGCCAAAAAGCATTTTTGTCTTTTTTTATTTTTTTTATTTCTTTTTTTTTCTTTTTGTCTCCTTTTTACTCTTTTTGTTTCCTTTTTATTTCTTTCGTCTTTTTTAATCTTCTTTTGTCTCTTTTTCTGTTTTTTTTATTCTTTTTTGTTTCTTTTTTATCTCTTTTGTGGTTTGCTGCAGTGCAGCGCAGCAGCGGAGTGTGGGGGGTGGGGTTGTTGTTATGGATTTAGGAAAAAAGAAATAAATAAAAATTAATTTTTTAAATCCAAAAAGGACTTTTTGGGTTTTGTTCTTAAAATCCCAAGGTTCATTTCTTCAAAACTTGGCCATTTTGCACTTATACATACCACTTTGCTGCTGCTGCTGCTGCTGCTGCTGCTGCTGCTGCTGCTGCTGCTGCTGCTGCTGCTGCTGCTGCAGCACTTGGCCTCTGAGGGCAAGTTCTCCATAATGTGCGAAAGCGAGTTGGAGAAGACACTGCAGCAGCACATCCTCTCGGAGCGTTCTTCAGCAGGTCAGTCTTTTCTTTTTTGTTTTCTTTTTTTGTTTTTTTTATTTTCGTTTTTCTCCTTTTTTGTCTTTTTTGTTTTATTCTTTTTTCCTGTTTTATCCTTTTTGTCCTCTTGTTTGTCTGTTTGACCCTTTCGTGTAGCTGCAGCGTGCTGCAGTTGTCTCCTGCTGCGCGCGGGGAGATCCTGCTGCTGCTGCTGCTGCTGCTGCTGTGCTGCTGCTGCTGCTGCTGCTTGCTGCTGCTGTTTGTCGGCGCTTTTGCAGCTGCAGCTTCCTCTAGCTGCTGGTTGCTACTGCTTGCTGCTGCTTGCTACTGCTTGCTGCTGCTTGCTGCTGCTTGCTGCTGCTGCTGCTCGCTGCTGCTGCTGGGTGGGCTCGGGGCAGCAGCAGCAGCAGCAGCGGGGTGGAGTTTTTGCTGCTGCAGCTCGGCTAATTCCCCGCAGCGACGGGGACTTAATGGAGCACTTCAACTTGAAGCTGAACACGGAGCAGCTGCTTAGCTCGGTCATGGCTGTGAGCCATCTTTTGCTGCTGCTGCTGCTGCTGCTGCTGCTGTTGCTGCTGCTGCTGCTGTTGCTGCTGCTGCTGTTGCTGCTGCTGCTGTCGGTGTCTCCTTTATCTTAGTTCCTCTTCCTCCTCCCTCAGTCCTTCCCACTTGCACCTGCTAGACGCCCCTGCCTCCTTTCTGCACTTATCCTTGCTGCAGCAGCAGCAGCAGCAGCAGCAGCAGCAGCAAAGGGGTGGGGTTGTTGTTTTGGCTGCAGGCCCGGCGAACTGAAGAATATGTGAAGCTGGCCCTGGAAGGCGTGGCCAAATTGAGGGCCCAAATTCAGCAGCAAGGAGGAGTGGACTTTTTGACCCGTTTGGAGTTGGACTCGAGGGGCCCCCCGCAGCAGCAGGGGGGCCCCCCGCAGCAGCAGGGGGGCCAGGGGGGCCCCCCGCAGCAGCAGGGGGCCCCCCCCCAGGCCCCCTACCGCGACGCCCTCCCGGGGGGCCCCTACCCCGACAAAAGACTTAACAACATTCACCGGGGGGCCCCCCATTTGCCAGCGAGCCACCAAGGCACAGCAGAGGACCTCTGAGGGCCCAGGGGCCCCCGGGGGCCCCCTGGGTTCCGGGGGGTCCGGGGGGCCCCCGGGGCCCCTCAGGGCTGCCAGGGGGCCTCTGGGGGCCCCCTTGAGGGCCCCACGGGGCCCCCCAGAGGCGTCCTTTATGATTATCCCCGCAGGGCCTCTTTACTGCCCCAAAGGGGGCCCCTGAAGGCCTCAGAGGACTCTTTTGGGTCTCAAAAGGAGACCCTTTCAAGGCCTTGGGGGGCCCCGTAGGGGCCCCCCAGGATGCCCCTGGAGAGCTCAGGGGGCCCTTTAGGGGCGTTTAGGCCCCCGAGGCTCCTGGGGGCCATTTAGGGGCCCCATAGGGGCCCTTTATACTCTTTTTGAGGCCCCAGGGGCCCTTTGTGGGCCTCTCAAGGCTACCTTAAGGTCCCAGGGGGCCCCCTGAGGGCCCCTGGTCCTCTGAGTTCTAAAGGGCCCCCTAGGGGGCCCTGAAAGACCCCGTGGAGGCCCCTTTTGGGGCCCCTGGAGGCCCCGGGGGCCCTTTTTGGGGCCTTTTTTAGGGCCCCTGGGGGCCCCCAGGGGCCCCAAAAGGGGCCCCTAGGGGCCCCCGGGGGCCCCTAGGGGCCCCTAGGGGCCCCTTTTGGCCCTTTGGGGGGCCCCCCGGGTGCATGCAAGCCTAGGCGGCTTGCTGGGGACAAAGCGCGTATAGGGCTGAGTCTCAATAGGGCCTTTAATTAGCAAAAAAGACTTTAGAAAGAAAAAGAAACAAATAGAAAAAAAGGAAATAAAAGAAACAAATAGAGAAAAAGAGAAGTGAAAGAAACAAATGGACAAAAAAGAAACAAATAGACAAAAAACAGAAACAAAAAGAAACAAATAGACGAAAAAAGGAAACAAAAAGAAACAAATAGCCAAAAAAAGAAAGAAGAAACAAATAGAACAAAAAGAAAAAAAAAAAGAAAATAAACAAATACACAAAGAAACAAATAGGCAAAAGAATTGGAAAACGAGAGAGGCCTGAGCGACACTCTTGCTGCTAAGGGGGCCCCTTTTGCTGCTGCTAGGGGCCCCTTTTGCTGCTGCTAGGGGCCCCTTTTGCTGCTGCTAGGGGCCCCTTTTGCTGCTACTAGGGGCCCCTTTTGCTGCTGCTAGGGGCCCTTTTTGCTGCTGCTAGGGGCCCCTTTTGCTGAAAGATTTAGAAAATGGAATTCTTTTGAGGAAAGAAATGAAAAAAGGAACAACTGGGATCGTCTTTGTGGCTCTGCAGCTCCGTGTGGGGAAAAGAATGAGGTGTCTGTACACCCCAGCTGCCTCAGGTGTCTGTACACCTCAGGTGTCTGTACACCTCAGGTGTCTGTACACCTCAGGTGTCTGTACACTGCAGCACTGCCTAGACCTCAGGTGTCTGTACACTTCGGCTGTTCTTGCATCTCAGCTGTACGTACACTTCAGCTGTATGTACACCGCAGGAGTCTGTACAGCTGAGGTGTCTGTACAGCTCAGGTGTACGTACACTGGAGCCCCAGAGAGGTGTTCTTGTTAGTGAAGCTGAGGTGTACATACACCTCAGCACCAGGAGCTCGGCGCAGGTCTTTTTGAAAGGCGTTTTCGCAGCTTTTTGTCTCAAAATAGTTCCTATAAATTCAAATAAAAGTTGGACTTTTAAATAGATTAAAAACTTGCATTTATTTAAATGAAAAACCCGTTCGTAGACGTCGAAAAAGGCACTTCGTGCATGCGCTCGAAACTCGAGGCAAGTCTTCGTGCATGCGTTTTGAACTCCTAGGCACTTATAAATATAAATTAAGAATTGAAATAAATAAATGGTTTTGAATAAATATAATGGCATTTTATTTGCATGCATGCATGCAGAAAACAGACAAGAACTCACTACTCCCGTGTTTGCCTCTTCAAGCGCTCTCAGCTTCAGCACTTTTAATCTTTTTCGAATAAATTCACAAGGCTCTTTTTGTTTCTATTAATTAAAAAATACCATTTAAAACAATTCTGAGAAGTTCTGTTGGCCTCCATCTTTAGCTGGCGAGCTGGGGTGTATGTACACTTCGCCCGAGCGCGCAGAAAGCCGTAAGTGTGCAGCAGCAGCAGCAGCACTAACACTGCAGCAGCAGCAGCAGCAACGGCATGTAACACTGCAGCAGCAGCAGCAGCGGCATGTAACAGTGCAGCAGCAGCAGCAACAACAGCGGCAGCGGCAGGCACCATGCAGGCGTCAGCAGCAGCAGCAGCAGCAACAGCTACAGCAGCAGCAACAGCAACAGCAGCAACAAAATAATCCGTAGCAGCTGCAGCAGCAGCAAAAGAAGCAACAGCAGCAAAAGCAGCAACGACAACTGTAGGAGCAGCAGCAGCGGCAGCCTCAGTCTCAGCAGCAGCAGCAGCAGCAGCAGCAGCAGCAGCAGCGAAGGCTAGTCCTCATCGGGGCTTGTAGGGAGGCCAGCGATCGACGGGAGGCGTGGGTTTTGAGAAAAAAGAGTTTTAAAATGATTTAAAAGATTAAAATATAAATTAAAATTAATTTATTTATTCAAAAACTCCAAAAAAGCCTTTTTTTGGTTTGCTGCAGTCCCGCTGGGGCCCCAGTGGACCACTGGGCTGTTGGCTTGCTGCTGCTGCGCTGGGGTGTACGTACACCTGAAAACGAGTCCCTTTATGCGTTCTTGTCTCGCGCTCGCCAGCCTCTCCAGCTGCAGCACGGGGATCCGATCCCAGTCCACTCGACTCCCCAGAAAGCCCAGCAGCCGATTTTGTGGGGCCCCTCACTTTCTTTGGAGGCCCCAGCTCAGGTGTACGTACACCGCAGCAGCTGGCGGCCGCTGCTAAGCCTCAGCAGCAACAGCAGCAGCAGCAGCAGCAGCAGCAGCAGCAGCAGCAGCAGCAGCGCGAGCAGCTCGGACTGTCCTGTGTACACAGCGTGGAGCGCAGCTGCAGTAGGATGCTGTGGGGGAGGATGACGCGGCCTGCTGCTGCTGCTGCAGCAGCAGCAGCAACAGGGTGGCTGCTGCTGCTGCTGCTGCTGCTGCTGCTGCTGCTCTTCGCCCAGGATTCTGCTGCCTTTGAGTCCCCCAAAGTGGATCCCAACAATGTCATTATGTTTGGTGAGTGCTGCTGCTGAGTCTCTTTATTGTCTCTTTTGCTGCTGTTTGACAGCTCGTTGCTGAACCCTGCGGCTGCTGCTGCTGCTGCTGCCGCTTCTGCTGCTGCTGCTGCTGCTGCTGCTGCTGCTGCTGCTGTGCATGCGTATCGAGTGTGTATGTACAGCACAGCCTGCTTGCGGATGTCTTCGCGTTTACCTCTGCAAATAAGTCCATATATACTTTATGCATTTTATTATTTATTTATTTATTTATTTATTATTATTTATTTATTTATTTATTTATTTATTTATTTATTTATTTTAAAATATACTTACATATACAAGTAAAATAAGTCTTTAGACTTGTCTTCAAGCGCATGCAAAAGGCTCTAAAATGCTTTTTTGAAAGCCCCAAAACTGCGGAAAAGTGCATTTTAATTGGAATTTAATTTGCAATTCTTTTTGAGACTCCAAAGGGCTTTTAAAATTCGAAAAAAGAAAAAAAATTGGCTTTTTTTTGCAGGAATTCGACAAAATCAACTCGAAAAACTGTCCCGGGATCGTCTCCTCCCCACATTTTCGATCCTGGGATCCGCTCCCCAAGTGCTGTACAGACGCTCCATAGTGGGCCTTGAGATGCAGCCCGGCAGCTACTGGAAGTGCACCACAGGTTAGGGTTTAGGGTTTAGGGTTTAGGGTTTAGGGTTTAGGGTTTAGGGTTTACGACCCGGCAGCTTCTGGAGACGCACCACGGGCCAGGGCCTAGGGTTTAGGGTTTAGGGTTTAGAGTTCACGGCCTGGCAGCTTCTAAAAATGCACCACAGGTCACGGTTTCGGGTTTAGGGTTTAGGGTTTAGGGTTTAGGGTTTAGGGTTTAGGGATCACAGCCCGGCAGTTCCGTCCCATCTGAAAACGCAGCACAGCTGAGCACTGCAAGTGCCGACCGCAGGGTGTCGAATTCAAACCCCAGGGTTTAGGGTTTAGGGTTTAGGGTTTAGGGTTTAGGGTTTAGGGTTTAGGGTTTAGGGTTTAGGGTTTAGGGTTTGTGCAGGCCAGTGGTTTCTGCGTGTGCGGCTGCTGGAACCCGGCCCCGTGGAGGCCCTGGACCCGTACCCTTTGGCCGCCTCCGTGGAGTACCTCGACAGGGCCTCGGGGCCCCAGGGGGCCCCCCTGCCTTTGCTGCTGTCTTTGGGGCCCCTAAACCCTCGGGTGTTTTCTCCCTTTTCTCTCCGCAGCAATCCGCACTCTCTCCAGGGCCTCAAGGCCACTCTCTTCTGCACCCAGAAGGGGCAGCCGCTCCAGCTCGCCACGGGCTGGCCCTTCATTGTCACGGGTCTGCTGCTGCTGCTGCTGCTGCGCTGCTGCTGCTGCGCTGCTGCTGCTGCTGCTGCGCTGCTGCTGCTGCTGCTGCGCTGCTGCTGCTGCTGCTGCGGTGCTGCTGCTGCGGTGCTGCTGGTGCTGCGGTGCTGCTGCGGTGCTGCTGGTGCTGCTGGTGCTGCTGGTGCTGCTGGTGCTGCGGTGCTGCTGCGGTGCTGCTGGTGCTGCTGCTGCGGTGCTGCTGCTGCTGCGGTGCTGCTGGTGCTTCGCGTGGTCGTGTTGGTGGTGCTGCTGCTGCTGCTAATCATCTGGTGATGCTGCTGCTTTGTACTGTTAATCGTCTGCTGCTGCTGCTGCTGACAGTCGTCTGGTAATGCTGCTGCTGCAGAAAGCGCTGCTTCCCCTCTCACATTGCTGCTGCTGCTGCTGCTGCTGCTGCTGCTGCTGCTGCTGCTGCTGTGCGCAGAGTTCAGCAGGGGCCCCTGGCGCGCTGAGGTGTCTGTACTTTCTGTAACATTGCATGACCCAGTTTCAGATCCTTCTTGGGAACCTTCAGCTTCTTCAACTGCAGCAAAAGATTCCTTAATGGCTCATGTGACCCTCAAAGTTCACCACCGCGTGGGCCCGTGGGGCCCCCCACGGAGGGGGCCCCCAGGGGGCCCCCAGACGCCGCCGCGCAGCCCCAGGGGGGCCCCCAGACAGCAGGGGGGGCCCCCCAAAAGGGAGAAGTGGTGACCCTGCTGGGGAGGATGCAGGGAGACGCTGGAGACAGTTTTTATTCTCGATCTGAATTAGTAAATGAATTAAAAAGGAGACTGGAGGGGGCCAGAGGTTGTGTGCTTTACAGTGTGAGGGGCCCCCTGGCAGCAAACTACATTGCTGCAGCAGACAAGGGGCACAACGGGGACTGGGAAGAGTACTTCTGGCAGCAGCAGCAGCAGCAGCAGCAGCAGCAGCAGCAGCAGCAGCAGAGAGAAGGAGAGGCAGGGGAGGGCGAGGCCGTTCTGGAGATGCCGACGTGGTTGGCCCGGCAGCAGCAGCAGCAGCAGCAGCGGCAGCAGCAGCAGCAGCAGCAGCAAAAGAACGCCGATGAAGAAGACGTGGTCTGGTTGAAGTGCCCGCGAGCCCCCGCTGTTGTTCAAGTCCCTTTTGGTAAACTCTCGGCTTTTTTATTTTTATTTTTTACTTTTTATGTTTTCTTTTCTTTCCTTTTTGTTCCATTTTTATTATTTTCTTTTACCTTTCTTTTTGTTTCTTTTTTGTCCCCTTTTGTTCCTTCTTCTGTCCCTTATTGTACTTCTTTTTGTCTCTCTTTCGCTCTTTCTGTCCATTTGCCGCTGCTAGGGTTTAGGGTTTAGGGTTTAGGGTTTAGGGTTTGCTGCCTGGGGCATAAGTTCCAAAGCCAGTGCCTATTCACCCTCACGCCTCCCCACCATCCCTCGGGTTTGAAGCACCGTGTCCCGGGCTTCGGGCCCAACACCCGGGCTTAGGGTTTAGGGTTTAGGGTTTAGGGTTTAGGGTTTAGGGTTTAGGGTTTGGGCGTGCAGGGAGCGTGCTGCGGGGGCTGTCGCCGTCGCTGCGGCGCGCCGCTGCTGCTGCGCTCCGCCCCTTCAAGAAGTGGCGCTCTTTGGCTTTTCTCTCCGCCACTTTTTTTCTTTTTTCTTCTTTGCTGCTGTGGGCCAAAGGCGAGGGCCTCGCGCGCCTGGGAGTGCCTCCGGACAAGATCCCCCAGGGGCCCCTCGACGTCCCGGGCCAGCTCAAGTGCGCCACCTAGCTAGCTAGCTAGCTAGCTAGCTAGCTAGCTGGCCGGCTGGCTGGCTGGCTGGCTGGCTAGGCAGCTCACAAGGCAGCTAGGCGGCGATGTAGCTAGCTAGCTAACTGGGGAGCTGCGAGGCGAGGTCGCTAGCTAGCTGACTGGGTAGCTAGGAGGCGAGGTAGCTAGCTAGCTAGCTAGCTAGGTGACTGGGTGGCTAGTCAGCGGGGTGGCTAGCTAGCTAGCTGACCAGGTAGCTGGCTAGCTGACAGCTAGCTAGCTAGCTGGGTAGCTAAGTAGCCAGCTAGCTGGGTAGCTAAGTAGCCAGCTAGCTGGCCAGCTAGCCAGCTAGCTGGCCAGCTAGCCAGCTAGCTAGCCAGGTAGATAGCCAGCTAGTTAGCTGGCTGAGTGGGTGCCTACACTGGGTAGCTAGCTAGCTGCTGCGCCGGGGGGTAGCTGTATAGCTAGCTGCACAGCTGGAAGGCTCTGCTGCAGCACTTGAGGGTGTCGGTTCCCCCGCACCTCGCGTGGAGCTGCTGCTGCTGCTTCTGCTGCTGTTGCTGCTGCTGCTGCTGCTGCGGTTCGTCCTGCATCTGTTCGCGCTGCTGCTGCGTTGTGTTTCTGCTGCTGCATCTGTTTTTGCTGCTGCGGGTTTTGTTTTTGCTGCCATTTTGTCTGTTTTTGCTGCCTCGGCGTCGATTTTTGCCGTGCTGCCCCCGCATTTGCTGCTGCTGCTGCTGCTGCTGCTGCTGCTGCTGCTGCTGCTGCAGCTACTCGGCGGCGCTGGCGAGCGGGAAGGAGCAGTGGGTGCGGAACGTGTTTGGGCAGTCGCCGAGCGGGGCCTTCTTCGGGGCCGATGGGGGCTACTACGAAACTCCAGAAGCAGCAGCTTCTCTTTCTTTTCCGCAACAATTCAGCATTTTGGCAGGAAGTGTCTTTTCCTCTTTGGGGTTAGCAGCAGCAGTGGCCACGGGCCTCGGGCTGCTGGCCACGGCCCTGCGGGGGGCCTCCCGGGGGGCCCGGGGGGCCCGCCAGAAGGCCCACGAGGCCCTCCAGAAGCTTCTCCAGAAGCTTCCTTGGGAGACCCGCAGCCACCAGCTTCTCCACAGGCTGGCCCAGCGCCTTGAGCGGGGGCCCCCCCGCGGCTTCCAGCCCCGCCAGGTGCTTCTTTTGGTGTTCGAGGGGCCCCCGGGGGCCCCCGGGGAGGGGGGGGCCCC